TAATGCCTGACTCCCTTAAGCAAGACGGCGGCACGTGGCATAATGCTAATGTTGTGGTGTTATTGCCTGGAACGAGAAGCCAGACACACATCATCTGTATAAAGTTGCTGTTGTGTTTTGAACTTGACTGTGAGGTGATGTGGATTTCCTTACCTGAATACCCCCCTCCTCCACCCTCTCTTCCCTCCCCCTCCCTTTCCTTCCTCTTCTTCCCCCTTTCCTCCCCTCCTTCCTTCCCCTCTTTCCCCTTTCCTTCCTCTTCATCCCCTTTCTTTTCCCTCCTTCCCTTTCCTCCCCTTCGTTCCCCTTTCCTTCCCCTCCTTCCCCGCCATGGATTTCAGACTTACCCTATTTATCCTGTCTGTAGGGAAGACACACAGGATATCCAAGGACTCATCCCAGGGACTTGAAGGATACACACTCAGCTAAGACTAGTTATCGTGTTGGGTCTTACCTCCACGGGGGGAGACAGACAGACAGACAGAAAGACACAGACAGACAGGCAGACAGACACACAGACAGACAGACAGACACACAGACAGACAGACAGACAGACAGACACACACTCAGATCTGTCGAGCGAGATGATTGTGTACAAATACCTCACAGAGCACCCAAGTAACTAAGGGGAGAAGCTGTTTGTTGGGTGGATGGTGTAGTGAGAGAACAGAGCAGTAGATGGACACACCGGGAGGGAGAAGAGGAAGAGCAGGAGGAGGAGGAGGAAGAAGAGGAAGAGGAGGAGGGGAGGAAGGGGGTAGGAAGAAGAAAAGAGCACGAAGAGATGGAGAAGGAGGGGGAGAAGGCAGCATTTTAGGTGATTGGTAGAATGAGTGTTAATATTTGTCTGGTAAACACTGGAAGAGGACGCCGAGGTTCACTTGTGTTTGCTGATGACGCTGTGTGGTTGTGGGGGGGGGTGGGGAACTGTGAGCTGTTGTGGTGAGGTGGTTGTTGGAGTGAGGAGGTGGTTGTTGTGGTGAGGTGGTTGTAGTGGGGTGGTTGTTGTTGCGGGGAGGTGGTGGTTGTTGTGGTGAGGGTTGTTGTTGTGGAAAAGTTTGTGGTTCACGAAGACATGTTGCAACGTTGTCTCCGCCACCAGTCGACACGGGAGCAAGGCTGGAGCAACAGGTCGGGGGTGAAAAAACTGAAATACCTTGAACGCACAACACAGCGAATGAATTTCCACAGAATTAAATTCAAGTCACGTACTGGCCTATACAGCCCTGGCATGAGAACCTCCCGCAAATGTAGACCCGTGTATGCAGGGACCTGATAAGCATAAAATATATATTTGTTTGACTTTACATAATTAAATCATTCATGAACAAGAGGTTAAAAACGCAGAGGCGGACTGGAGGAGCAAATAGACAGAGTTGAATACACGAGGAACACAGGAATATGTGTTTATCGTGTGTGTTGTGGTGCAGATGGGAGAAGCACACGGTCTGTCTCTGCAGCTTATCCGAGAGGCAGGTCACGGCCAAGCAAATTACCGGGTAGAGACTCAGAGACAGACGTGTTGGGTGTAGGTGTCACCCTTATGTTCACCCACTTGGCTCCTCCCTCAGCTGTGCAGTGAGAGGTAGATTATCTGCCAGGGAGTGAAAGTTTCATGCTAAGAAGACACTTTATCATGACAAGAATACCAGTAGAGGAAGTAACGTAAGGAGTGAAGTATTCTAAAAGGTTTACTTCAGTCCTGTTAACGTCTGAGGTAAACATCTATGATAACTTATTCATTACCACCTAGAGCCAGATGCCACCAGCCCCAGGAACCCTCTTAACCCCCAGAGGACCTGGTCTAGTATAGCATCCCGCCCCTGGCACGTCGCCTTCACCAATAATTAACGCGATTATCTTGGGAGTCGAGTGTGGTGCGGATGGAGGTGGTGAATTGTACGCTGTTAGCAGGTTGTATTGATGAGTGGGTGGCGAGGCGTGTGGCGCGGTTGATATCAAGGACTTGTTGGTTAACAAGGATTTGGGTAGGCGAGTGTCGAAGTTGATAGCCTGGGCGTGTATCGTGTAGATAACAAAGGCCCGGGGGTGGGGTGGGGTGGGACGACAGCTCCACTACTGCCGACCAATCAATCATCCCTGCCTAGTTCTCGTGCCTCAGAAAATAGTATTGGATTACGATGATTTAAGTCTTGTGTTTGGATAAGACATTGTTTCTCCATTCACTGATACGTTGGTAAAATAAGATGAACTATTGCTGGTATTAAAGTGATCACCTGACTACTAACCACCCCCATCTTATCTGACCTCAAGATTAACCACCCTAACCTAACCTAACCTAACGCTGGTAGTGATGACTGGAGGTTGGCGGTGGTGGCAGGAGAGGGTTGGCGGTGGTGGCAGGAGAGGGTTAGTGGTGGTAGTGGTGTCCCCTCATCAGACCACAACACAACCTGGCGCCTCTGCCACCTTGTACCGCCAGTAATCTAATGACGAAGCTGTGAATAGTGAGAGTTCTCCCTCAGGCTACTAGTGGTCCAGCTGCTGTTACTCCTACTCTCACTTTATTTCTTCCTCCTCCTCCTTCTCTTCATACTTTTTATCTCTTCTACTTTTCCTACTCTTCATCTTTCTTCTCCTCCTCCTCCTCCTCTTACTCTTTCTTCTCCTCCTCCTCCTACTCTTTCTTCTACTCTTCCTCCTCCTCTCTCGCTACAGCAGTGTGTATGCTCGGGAAAAGATGATAGTTATTGACAGTAATTTACCTCGTTAAGTAGAAACCTTATCATTAGTAGAAACCTTTAATGTAGTTCAGCTTGGAGAAACCTTCAGAGAAAACCCACTGATAAACGAGACCCAGAGTAAAGCTGAAAACATTGAACCCGAAGAACCCAACAGAACCCGAACCCAAATGATTGTAACAAAAAACGAACCCAAAGAACCCAGTGACTATAACGCAGGACGAATCCGAGGGAGGTCACCCGCGTCAGTGCCTCGGGAAGACATCGGGGTGATCAGGCCCTCGGTGATCAGGCCCTCGGTGATCAGGCCCTCGGTGATCAGGCCCTCGGTGATCAGGCCCTCGGTGATCAGACCCTCGGGTATCAGGCCCTCGGTGATCAGACCCTCGATGATCAGGCCCATATATAAACATGTTAAACTTATCACAGGTAAATATTAACACACATTTACTCATTTAACCTAACAAACACCTGTTAATTATCACAGGTAAAAAAAATATATATTACGTAATCAACACGAGTGAATTATTATATTGCAAAACGATTCTTACGCTGTTGAATTTTTTTTTCCTCTTGTTTCTAGTAAATTAATTTCCGTATTTGAATAAGTTTTTTTTTATCCTAATGATCAAATTACACTTTCATGTTTTAATTGTATCGTTCATGTTTTTATTTTTTTATTTGTTTCTCATTGAGCTGTTTGAATACTTAATTGTTTGTGATATTAGTTGAAGTGTTTGTTTTTGGTGTTTGAGTTTACCCCTGCTGTGTTTGTTTGTTTGTTTGTGGGTATTTGTTTGTTTGTTTGTGGGTATTTATTGTTGGGTATTTATTGTTTGTTTGTGGGTATTTATTGTTTGTTTGTGGGTATTTGTTGTTTGTTTGTGGGTATTTGTTGTTTGTTTGTGGGTATTTATTGTGTTTATGTGTAGTTGTATTTGTGTTTATTTGTTTGTTTGTCTCCTCGTGAATTTAAGTACATGTGTTTTTGAAATAATGTTTAATATATATATAAACAATTCTAATGTTTAGGTTTATCTTGGACGCTTATAACTAAATGTTTATATACAATTCTGGAGGTGAATATCGCATCAGTGTTTACTCAGAGTCGCTATAAACACACTTGGTCTGTTTGTATATGTAATTTATATCTTACTGTTCTGACAATGTTTATATATACTGTTTATATATATATATATTACTCAAGTGTGTATTATTGTTATGGTTTGTCTTAGGGAATTATGGTGTTGAGAGAGAGAGAGAGAGAGAGAGAGAGAGAGAGAGAGAGAGAGAGAATATGTATGTATGTGTGAGAAAGATAGTGTTTTGTTTGTGTATTAGAGACAGATAGTATGTGTGTGTATGTATGTATGTGTGAGAGAGAGAGAGAGATGGATAGTGTGTGTGAGGGTGAGTGAGTTAGGGTGGCAGAGTTGTGTAGTGATGTGGCGGAGGGGAGCCCAGATTGACCAAACGAGGGTGAACAGGGAAAAAGAGAGAGGCGAATGAGGGAGAGACACAGGGGAGAGGTGATAAGGGTTAGGAGAGAGAGAGAGAGAGAGAGAGTGTGAGTGGGTTAAATGCTTCTGAGTGTACACGATAGCTACACACACACACACACACACACACAGTTATATATGGTCACCATCACTCTTTCCCTCTATCCTCTTCCTCCCTCCCTCCTATCTTCTTTCCTCCTCCTCCTCCCTCCCTCCTATCTTCTTTCCTCCTCCTCCTCCTCCTCCTCCTCATCTTCCCGCCCTTCCTCCTTCCCATCAATCGTGGACAAGTGTGCAGAGTTTGCTCTAGGGATTCACGCGGATTAATTAATTGAGCGGACGCCAGGGATCAGAGGGGGATTTGCCTCCCTCCCTCAGTGTTACTTCCCTCCCTCAGTGTTGCCTCCCTCCCTCAGTGTTGCCTCCCTCCCTCAGTGTTGCCTCCCTCCCTCAGTGTTGCCTCCCTCCCTCAGTGTGGTCCCAGTTAGTAGTACAGTGCGTCAGTCGGATGTGTCGCCTCAGTAGTGTCAGGAAACAGTATTATGTTCTCCCCAGAGTGGCCAGCAGCACCCCTTCTCCCCTGCACCCCTCTTCCCCCACACAACCCCTCCTCCCTCCTCCACCAGGTAGATGGGATGGGTGGAGCTCCTGATTAGTATGTTTACCTGGTCGTGGGTGAGGCCATGTCCCCTGGTCAGTCATGGTCACCCGTTCATTCGTCTGTATAATGATATGAATAATGTTAATTTGTCTTCTGTCTCTGGGGGTCAGGGAGTGTATACTGATCTCTCTCATGGCTCTAGCTAGTGGTCGTGTTGTCCTCTGGGTGATGTGTTGGTGGGTGTAGCGGTGTCGTGTTGTCCTCTGGGTGATGTGTTGGTGGGTGTAGCGGTGTCGTGTTGTCCTCTGGGTGATGTGTTGGTGGGTGTAGCTGTGTCGTGTTGTCCTCTGGGTGATGTGTTGGTGGGTGTAGCGGTGTCGTGTTGTCCTCTGGGTGATGTGTTGGTGGGTGTAGCTGTGTCGTGTTGTCCTCTGGGTGATGTGTTGGTGGGTGTAGCGGTGTCGTGTTGTCCTCTGGGTGATGTGTTGGTGGGTGTAGCTGTGTCGTGTTGTCCTCTGGGTGATGTGTTGGTGGGTGTAGCGGTGTCGTGTTGTCCTCTGGGTGATGTGTTGGTGGGTGTAGCTGTGTCGTGTTGTCCTCTGGGTGATGTGTTGGTGGGTGTAGCGGTGTCGTGTTGTCCTCTGGGTGATGTGTTGGTGGGTGTAGCTGTGTCGTGTTGTCCTCTGGGTGATGTGTTGGTGGGTGTAGCGGTGTCGTGTTGTCCTCTGGGTGATGTGTTGGTGGGTGTAGCTGTGTCGTGTTGTCCTCTGGGTGATGTGTTGGTGGGTGTAGCGGTGTCGTGTTGTCCTCTGGGTGATGTGTTGGTGGGTGTAGCTGTGTCGTGTTGTCCTCTGGGTGATGTGTTGGTGGGTGTAGCGGTGTCGTGTTGATTTCCTCCATCGTACTCCCTTGGTTTGTCTTTCTCATGACTGTTGTTATTCCTGAAGTGATCGACGGATTATCTTCTCACTTAACCTAACCTAACCTAACTTAACCTAATCCAGGGGAATATTAAGTCTGTCCTGGAAGTGGTAGTTGTGTGTTGATATATGTGACTCCAGTGTTTTGATTAGGAAATGAAAGTGTATTGAGATGTGCTGCCGTGTGTTGGATGGGAGGTACATGTTGATTTAACCCTTTGAATACGATGGTTTAACCCTTTGAGGACGATGATTTAACCCTTTGAGGACGATGGTTTAACCCTTTGAGGACGATGGTTTAACCCTTTGAGGACGATGATTTAACCCTTTGGAGGACGATGGTTTAACTTTGAGGACGATGGTTTAACCCTTGGAGGATGATGGTTAACCCTTTGAGGACGATGATTTAACCCTTTGAATACGATGGTTTAACCCTTTGGGAATTACGAACCTTTGAATACGATGGTTTAACCTTAAGACGATGATTTAACCCTTGAGGACGATGAGGACGATGATTTAACCCTTTGAGGACGATGATTTAACCCTTTGAGGACGATGATTTAACCCTTTGAGGACGATGATTTAACCTTTTGAGGACGATGATTTAACCCTTGAGGACGATGGTTTAACCCTTTGAGGACGATGGTTTAACCCTTTGAGGACGATGGTTTAACCCTTTGAGGACGATGGTTTAACCCTTTGAGGACGATGGTTTAACCCTTTGAGGACGATGGTTTAACCCTCCAGAACTCCAGGGATATAAAAGTTTTCCTCCTTCAACTGACATAAGTATGATGACCATTTTCCCGCCACTCGACTCTCCCTTTGTTCTCCATCAGAGCTTTAACAACTTAACTTAGGTTGATGACGTCATTAACTCTCCCGTAGACTCGACCGCTCTACTGTTGTGATGACGTCATTAACTCTCCCGTAGACTCGACCGCTGTACTGTTGTGAACTTCAAAGACTGTCTCCAAAAGGTCATCATTATTTCAACATTACAGTAGCCTTTGAGCTCTCGTCTCGTCACGGTGTATAACAGACAGTAATACTTATATAAATGGGGGTTACGTACATTAGGTTTATATAATTACATCACCCACGGTAACTTTCCTATGAGCCGTCTCTCGCCCTCACTAGACGTGTGGCCAGGAAGCTAATTAAACATATGCTTCATCCATTATTCACGCTCACAGCTCGTAGCGTTAATTACGGTGATTCCCAGTAATTGTGCAATAGTTTATTTTCTTAATAAATGGAGAAAAAGATCATTTGGGTTTGAAAACTTAACTCATAAACATTTACGAATGTTGCTTTCAATTCACATCTAATTAGTTATCCCACAGGTAACCGGAAACTGCAACAACCGTGTTGGATAATGTTAGTCTCACCGGCGCCTTGCTTACTGTAGTGTCCATGTTGCTTACCTCTCTGCAACACCCGGGTCTTCTCTCTCTCTCTCTCTCTTCTCTCTCTCTCTCTCTCTGCAACACCCGGGTCTTCTCTCTCTCTCTCTCTCTGCAACACCCGGGTCTTCATCCTCCCTAGACAACATTTCTCTATGTTATCTTAACCTCCACAACAGTTATCTTCATCATCTATTTATCATTACTTGTTGTCTAGTGTCTCAGTATTTTTTAGATCTAATTTGTTTATTTGTGTTATCCATATGTTGTTATCATTGGTTATTGTTGTTATCATTGGTTAAAATACTTTTGTTATCTTTACAGGTGAGTGGCGAGAGTTAACGGTGTTGAGGGCTGAGTGTACTCGGCGTTGACACAGGTAAGGAGAGTTAGGTTAGGTTAGGTTAACGTTAGGATGGTTAATCTTAAGGTGAAATAAGCTTGTGGACCCTGGCCGTAGTCTGTAGGAGTGGTCGAGGTCACTCAGGAATCTCCCGGACAACGTAATTGAAAATTCTTGGTAAAGTCTTGACTTGAGGATGAGGAAGATGGTGACTTAAGGAGGATAATGCAGAGAGAGAGAGAGAGAGAGAGAGAGAGAGAGAGAGAGAGAGAGAGAGAGAGATATCCTGTCAGTCAGTTTGTGTTTTATCACTTACTATAGTCCCTTAACCCTCCACCCCTCCAACACTCACCTCTCCACCACTCACCTCTCCACCACTCTAACACTCACTCTCTACCCCTCCAACACTCGCCTCTCCACCACTCCAACACACACACTCTCCACCCCTCCAACACTCATCCCTCCACCCCTCCAACACTCATCTCTCCACCCCTCCAACACTCACCACTCCACCCCTCCAACACTCACCACTCCACCCTGGGAAGGAATCAGTGTAGCTCACAAACTTTATAACTCATTTTACTTCGTTTGTTTTTCCTACTATTAAGGTGGAGTGATTGTGGGTGTGGGCAGCTAATTACCCAGGTAGCGGTGTGATGACGTCGAGATGGTGATGACGTCGAGATGGTGATGACTTCGAGATGGTGATGACGTCGAGGTAGTGGTGACGTTGAGGTAGTAATTGCACCTATACATATGCCGTGGGGGGAGACATCTAGACATAACGTGGGCGGGGGACTCATGGGCGTGGAGTGGGCGGAGGTGGGGTGGTTAAGGGTGTGAGACTGACCACCTTCACCTCCTCTTTCTGACGGTCCAAGTTGCCTAAAGTTAGGTCATTACGTCAGGTGTTAAGCCTCACTTTACCACTTACCAACAAATCTTTTCACGACCCACAAAACTGAGCCATTTTGTAAAGCGAAGTTTGGTGGAAGGAGGAAGAGGAGGAGGAAGAGGAGGAGGAAGAAGAGGAGGAAGAAGAAGAAGAAGAGGAGGAAGAAGAAGAAGAAGAGGAGGAAGAAGACGAAGAAGAGGAGGATGCAGAAGAGGGGGAAGAAGAGTTAGCGAGTGGAAAGGAGAAGAGGAGTAGGGTGGGAGATAAGAAGAAGAGGAGGAATGGGCGAAAAGAGGAGGAGGGGGTGGAAGGTAGGAAGAGGAAATTGGCTAATGATGAAGGAAGAAGAGGAGGAAGAGGAGGAGGAGGAGGATAATAAGTTTGTGAAGAAGAAGAGTTTCGGAAGAAGAAGAAGAAGAAGAAGAAGAAGAAGAAATCTAGGTATTGGGAAAAATAGAAGAAAGAGAAAAAGTAACTAGGAAAATGTGAAAAGTTAAAAGTATGAGTGTCAGGGCGCCATGGTGGGGGGGGGTGAGGCAGGAGGAGAGAGGGAGAGGGAGGGAGGGAGAGGGAGAGGGAGGGTTTTGAGCACCACTACCACTTACCTACCTCCACCACCACCACTTGTCCACCACCACCACTTACCCACCACCACCACCTCGCTGGCTCTTCACTCGGGTCGTCAAGCAAAGTGAAAAAGAAATTCTCTCCCCCATTTCGCGGTGTTGTAGCCCCGCCATCTGAGAGAGGCGCTGGAGGTGGCGGTGCTGGAGGCTGCGGTCGTGGCTGGGTGCTGCTGATAGTTCCCGAGTGTCGTGGCTGTCAGTGTTAGAACTAATGTCGTGTCGAACATTTTTTTTTTACGGGGGAACAGAGATACAGACAGGAAGAGAGGCAGACAGACAGGAAGAGACACAGACAGACAGGAAGAGACAGTCAAAGAGAGAGAGAGACAGACAGACTGACAGGGAGAGACATCCAAACAGACAGGAAGAGAGACAGCCAGGCAGACAGACAGACAGACAGACAGGAAGAGAGACAGACTGACAGAAAAAATAAGACTGGTTTCGGTCTTTTCGTCTATATTTTTATTAATAAACTTTTAACTAATTTATTCATTTACACAAACTATCTCACCGACAACTTTTACTATTTTTTTACAATATTAATAAAAGAAAAACGACTAAAATTGCAAATGGATTTAGAATTGAAACCTTGGCGGTAAAGGAACTATTTTTAAAAAGACTTATGATATTAAGTTTTTTTTCTACGCATTTTGATTAGCTTTTGTTCTAGTTTTGATCATGGTGGGTGGGGAAAGGGGGAGGGGTAGGAGGGTGGTGGGGATTAGGAGCGGTAGGAAGGGAGTTTGGGAGGAGGGTGGGTTAGTAGGTGGTGGGGGTTAGGTTAGGGGGTTAGGAGGGTGGACTGTCTCGCCTTGTTGTGGCTTTTATGAGTTATTTACCCAGAGTACAGCATCATATTGTAGTCTCTTGTCTCATTAATTATTCCTTCAATATTCACGACGCTGGTGGAGTAAACACACACACACTCGGTGATGATTGTAATGGATGAGTGAGGTGGATGGAGGGTGAGTGGGTGAGGTGGAGGGTGAGTGGATGAGGTGGTTGGTCAGGCAACTAACATTAACACTATGCTAAATATCTCCACCCCTCGGGGACACTACCTGCCTGTGTTATGGTACTACTGCCACCCACCCACCTGGTATGTTACTGGTGTGACACAATTGAGGTGGCTACGGCACTAAGAGATGGTATGACTGGTATTTGGTCAGGGGGAGAGGGTACTGGTGGGTGGTGGTAATATGTAGAGTGAAATAAGTTGGTATGAGTTTGATGGTATGACTCTCTCTCTCTCTCTCTCTCTCTCTCTCTCTCTCTCTCTCTCTCTTCATCTATCGCCTTTCTCCTCATCTATCGTTGTTGTATATGTAGTTATTCATCCATTCATCCATGTTAAGCTCACACTGAGTTTTAAAGTCTTGAATTTATTGTCGAAAATCCTGGCGAGTCTCACGGGATGATCGCCTTAACTGCACCACTCAGGCGGGGAGAAAATCTCAACTTAGCGCCTGAAAGTCTCTCCAACGCCCAACTTTTTTTCTACAAAAAATCTTTAGGCGCTGGAGGTTCTATCATGTCCATTAGAATAATTACATCCTGCCCAATTTACATAGTGTATGAGGTGTCTTTGTCGAGGGAAGGGGGGGAGAGGGGAGGATGAGGTGGGAGAAAAGGGGAGAGAGGGGGTGGGGAGCCTGGACCACACCTCCTCATTGCAGGACCCCCACAACACCACACCCAGGGTCCTCGCCA